CTCTTACTCTTGTATTTTCTTAATGGATTCTGAACAACATTGCCTTCAGCGCTGGCTTTATTGGTGATATAGGGACAGCCACAACTGACTGGGTTCTTTTTTCTTTTCGTATACCTGTGTTTATTATGCTTCTCCTTTCAGAGGCAAGATAAAAGCTACGATCGATGTAGAGCTCCTCTTAGCAGCCTGACGTAAAACATGCAGTTGCGAGCGCCGTAAAACCTCTACTAAAACTAACTAAACTGACATAAAACAACAAATCATCCTAGCAACATACGTTACAAGTCTTTCATCATACTAAGTTAGTTCAGCATAGAATACTTCAGAACAGTTCGTTTACTTCAGTGTCTACACACCACTACTAACAGTGCGGTCAAAAATTCGTGGCGTAACTTCTTGTCAAATATTTCCTCAATAATTGAATATAGACTCTCAAGCTTTTGCACAGTGACTTGTATCAATTTTGTTTTAATAGATCAATATCTTTGTGAACACATGTTAGTTGTATTCTAGGAAGTTCCTTGATAAACGCTAATTAAAAATCCAAGTGGTTGTTTTCTACAGATTTTATAGGTTTCCAGCTGGTGCAATATTGCTTTTAAAAGCAAGTCCGTCTTTTTTTTCTTCTAATTGCCAGATTATGCTAATTGAACGCATGAACGCACGTTTCGAGAACCTTTAGTGCAATGAAAGTGTTCTCTATAAAATTAATTTCTTATAACAAGTTAAGCCACTAAAAAGTGTCATTGGTGAGTTGTGACGTAGGCCATATATGTGTGCAAAAGGTGTGTGAGAAGCTGGAAGTGCTGTGAACAATCCCATTTTCCGCAAGACGAAGTTTTTCTGAAGAAACCTATTTTTTAATGTAGCCTCAATTGTTGGGGGAAAATATGATTAAGTTAAGGCAAATTGATACAAACTGCTGTGCAAAGTATGGTTGGCAAATATTGTTCACCTTTTAATGAGATATTAGAGAATACGTTGTTCCACGAATTTTTGACTGCACTGTTACTGGTCGTGCCGTTAGTTCAAAAGGTATCGTTTCGGACTGGGTTACTGATGACCCTTGTTCGAATGCCAAGTGGAGCGGGTTTTATATAGTATTAAGCAGTCCATGCGCGAAAATTACATTTTTTTTCTTCATAAATGGAACATGTCTGTGCCATTCCTTGATTAGTATTAGTTCTGATAATGAAAAATGTTCATTGTTTTTGTAGAATATTCTAACATTCAATTAACCATAACTTTGGAACCAATAAAGACATTTGAATAATTTTTTAAAATTCCTTTGTCTTGTTGAATTCTTTCCAGCCATGTGCATATAATGTACTTATAATAATATCAAGATTGTTATGATATCCCCTAGTCTAAGTCTTGAACTTGGGTTGCTTGGGCTTTCCTCCCACTTGCCTGAGTTGCTTCCGTAGGTTTTGGCTTTAAGATCACCTTGCCTTACAGTTATGAAAGGGGCGTCAAATCCATGCTGTGTTGTTCTATACTGTACTGTACTGTGCCCTGTTGTACTGTGCTGTGTTGTTCTGTGCCCTGTTGTTATGTGTTGTACTGTGCTGTGCTGTGCTGTGCCCTGCTGTGCTGTGCTGTGCTGTGCTGTGCTGTGTTGTACCGTGCTGTGCTGTTCTGTGCTGTGCCCTGCTGTGCTGTGTTGTACCGTGCTGTGCTGTTCTGTGCCCTGCTGTGCTGTACTGTGTTGTGCTGTGCTGTTCTACTTTATACTATTCTGTACCCCCATTGCACTGTACTAAATGTTAGGACCTAATTCTTGTTGTATTGCACCCACAGGGCCACTGGTAGGCGTGGAGCAAATACAGGACCTCCCGGGCAGTAAATCTTAGCCTGTTGTTGAGCCAGCTGAGGACACCGGGGAGAGACAAGCGTCGCTGTTGACTCGGTTAGATACTGTCTCACGTCAACGATCGATTGGGATATTGACTATCGTCTTCACGGTCTTTACAGCTCTTTATGACCATCTGACTGTCGGCAAGTGACACTGAACAAATACAAAGCCGGTAAGCCATAGGGACTGTCCGTTACTTTATACGACTTTTTATTATTTATTTCCTCTTGTCTTTCTTGTTGAAGACAGTGTAGTAAATTAGAAGAGGTCGATAAAACGATAGCAATGCGATAGTAGAAAAGACTTTGAAAAAAACAAACCAACCTGATAGTAAAGCAACCAGAAATAAAGCGTAGACAACTTTACAAGACGTTTTACAATGTCGTTCCTCTTGTATTTCTTCTGAAATATGGTTTAGTATATTATGAAACGATAACCAAAGCCTTCTTAAGAACTGATAATAAATCCAATAAACAAAAGATCGTGACAAATTTATTTGAATTTTTACAATCTCTTTCATTGTGTATATCTTCTTGAAGATGTTGCAGTAAATAAAAAACGACGTCGGTGAAACGATAGTCATGCTATGGTCAAAGAAGTGTAAGTCTTTAAAAAAAAACACGCACCAAAAAAAAAATCAAGATGAAAAGTACATACAACAAGTAAACAAGAGGAAGACGGGTAAAAAAGTACAGGTGGCCTTTGTACAGTTGATTGTCTTGGACAGGTGGTCGTTATAGCAGGTTTGACTGTATATATGCACCAGAGGTTGGTTGTGGATGCTCTAGCCACCTGCTCTGTAAATGCCAGACAGTTCCACAAGACAAGCTCTAACCATGTATTTCCTCTTGTAACTTCTTCTTGGAAAGAAAAGATACAAACGACTTGTTTAATTAATGTATTTCTTGAGGAGAAATCGTTAGCTCTGCTGCTCGTTCCCATAGGTGACGATTTTACATGTCTAACAGATCCAACAAAAAACAAAAGTCAACAGGGGTGGGGGG